TAACCTACTCACGCCGGCTTGTGCCCGTCCTCACAGTCGGGCATATTTGCGGAATACACCACGCCGCCGTTGACCCTGGCCATTGACCGAGCAACCCGACGTTCCTACCAGCTCCCTCCGCAGGAATGTGGTAATATAGTACTGGAGTCTGTGGCCGGGGAAAGGGAGGTGTGGACCACCACTCCTCAACACGCTGCCGCCGGGACCCTCGCCAGGACAAGCGGAATAACGAACGGATGTGATCATGCAAATCCACGCACAGTCTAACGCAGCGGATTATGCCGATGATGGTGTCACGACGCCTCGTCCATCGCCTCCAGTCCAACGGCACACGTGTTAACAGAGGTGCGACTTTTCCACTCAATTATTTTATTTTTCCGGTTTAGTCGAGTGATCTAATCCAATAGTCAAGTCATTCATTCGTTAATTGGATATCTCGGCTCTAATTTTGGCCCCCGACAGCAGAGCTTAACTGAACACCAAAGATAAATTAAGCACAAGTGTATGATGGCTTTTTTTGTGCAGTTCACGGTGATTTGGCTGAGGCCATCAACTTCACTCCATTTAAAGAAGCCGGGTTTAATCACGGGTGGCTGTCTGAACGCATTCCGGAGTCTCAGCAATGGTGGCTCAGTGGCTTGACAGAGAGATTAAGAGACCCCCCCCCCTTAGAGAAAGACCACTCAGTAATGGGGATTGAACGTGGGCTTTCAGCTGTGTTTGGCTCGGTGTTCCGACACAGCCATTCTGAGCCACCCATCCAAATCGTGTGTTGTGGTGTGTCTGACAAGTTTGACGTTTTCCCCCTTTTTTAATTAGTTCTACCTGCTTCTCTGAGAATGAAAACAAACAAAAGTACATTTCTGTGTCGGTTTGCTGCCTTTAATTGACCTCACGTTGTCTTTCACACGTCAAATTGAAGGGGCTTATCTGGCCACGGAGCACCGGGTCTCGGCGTCTCCCTCTGCATTGTTTTGAATTCACAGGTTTTTTTGGGGGGGGGCAGGGGGGGGCTGGCCACCGTTACAGTGCGTAATGAAATCTGCCTGCTGACAGGGTGCGTGGGAGACGGGATACTTGGGCGGTCGGCAAAGATGTATGCCGCGTTGAGTCAAAGCTAATTTAGACCGCGCTTGGTCGAACGTTATGCCTCTGCGCAAAACAAGGCGAGACGGAGTGGAATGGTGAAACGCTGCGGTTAGAAACATGGGGGGGGGGGGGGAAATGTTCTGCCAGTATCAGAAAGAAAGGTCCCATGTTGTAGCTGCTCACCAGCTGATCACCCCGAGCTCTCAGTGCCCTGATGCGTGCATCGTCATTGTACTTCTCGTCTTTCGGCGTTCTCTGCTCTAAGACTGTTTGAGACGAGGCCCTAAAGACAATGACATATATTGTCAGAGCATGTTTGTTTGCAAGTTCACAAGTACGGCGTGCGGTTAATGCAGATTTGGATTCCTTGCAGAATGTTTCTATTTGGCGTTTGAACATCTTAAACACCCGTTTCATTGCCAGAAAGGGTAACGCCTATTCTTATTTTGATTTCCAGCCGCCGTAAAAAATTAGGGAACGTGTGTTGTTTAAAAATTACTCGGTCTATCGGAATTGCAAAGTATTCAAGAACAGATGTCGGGTCCATTTTAACGTGCACGCGTTTCCCTACACACAAAAACGTGACCGCGAATTTGATATATACCTTGACATGTAATCCACAGTACTTTACGTTACTACATACGGTGTATCGAATTTCTATAGCCGTAGAAATTTGAACAAAACATGTTTTAGTAACGGTGCCCAATCACTGCATTGTTAAATATCGTTCGAAAAACATTGTAATCAGTAGCATACGTGCCATGCGATTGATTTATTTTACGTAAATCAAGCTTACAGGGATATAAATGCACGTTCACTATTCTAACGTATATAAACTTTATGTGACAGTATTTCATTCGATATGGAGTATGTGTTATGGAGTATCTTTAATTCCTTTCACCACGATCATACAAGGCAGGTATCCTAAACAAGCTTACGACTGCCCCCTTATGGAAAGTACTGCGCTCTGTAATAATCAATATAGAATTAAACTAACTAGCCTTTGGAGTAAATTGTAATATGTTTTTTTTGTAAATTGCACTAGGAAAATACAGTAACACGCTGGAACATTAATATCGATTAACATTAACGATGCCCACAAAAGCCAGCCAGCAAGGGGTGGAACGTGACCGACAGAACGTAAATCAGAGAGATGGAGCAGTAAAGATCGGCTCGTGTGTGCATCACGTGCGAGGCGAGAGTTTAACACGTAGACTTGGCGACCAATATTATCTATAATAAAGGGATTTTTTGTCGGGGGGGGGCGGGCGGGATAAGTCGCGTAAATAAAACAGGAAGACTTCTTCACAATTCTGGCAAATCGCCTGATGGGGCTGGTTGTAATCACCAGCGAAACGTTGCTGCACTCAAATCGTAAATGTTGTGGGTTTACTCTCCATCACACCGATGTGCTGTACTAGTAACGACTTGGCATGTTCTGTTTACGTGACAAACCTTACTAATTGGCTGTGTCGGGTGGTGGTGCATTAACGACACATTTATATCTTCTTGGTTCTTTCGGAAAAGTCACGTAGAATGGAAATAATAAAATAATAAAAATAAAACATAACATTCAGACGCTGTCTCCCCGACAGACCTGGTCTTCACCTGAGGACGGCTGCTTGCGTTGTGGCCGAAACGTCGTGAGAATGATCTTATTTTGTTTTATTTTTATTATTTTGTTATTTCCATTCTACGTGACTTTACCGAAAGAACCAAGAAGATGAATCCCTGCAGTCACGAAAGCTTTAAATCGAGACACAATCATATTTACGAGCTCTACCCAAACAAAAACCTTTAAGGTGCCAGGTGGATCTTGTGCGCGTGCCAGGCACGGTGCAGAACCGCGGCTTAAGGCTCCTTCGCCAGCAGTGGATTGATCATGGCTGATTAGGAGTTTCATCACCAGCGTCTAATATGTAAAAATTAACCAATGCTGTCATGGCATTTGCCACGTGGTTAGAATTGCCGTACATGTTTTTGTTACAATCAGATTGTAACACAAACATTTTCAGCAATTACCCTGTCACAGCCAGACTGTGACAGGGTAATCATTTGCATATAGATTCTGATTTACTAGATAAACTGGATCATCAGAATCAGAATAGTTATTTGTACTGGAGGAATCCGATGAGCTATGAACCTCTTTTTCAAAGATGTCCAGTAGGGGCAGGTAAGAACGTCACAACAAACAGTACAAAAACATGATTGCATTCTTTGGGTCTATATATATATTTAAGGTGTTTATATTTGCGAGCCCAGATTTATACCATTCTGTGTGCTTCGTGCGTCTTAATGTCATAATCATTACCATCGGAAACGCCGTTATGAGCCTCGCACTTTCTTACCTCGATTGTTATCGAGTATCACTACGTCTGTAGTCTTGCTGTGCTAATCTGTCCACTGAAAGACGTTTCCCAAAACTTGCGATCTCACCTTTCCATGGCACAAATTTGCTATACTGTATATGAATACGGAAGGATGTAATTCCAAATGTTTACGTTTCTGAGGCGACAGACATTTTTAATTTCATTATCAAATGTTCCTGCAATAATAAAACCATAATATATGATTAAAAGGAACACATGCGCGCACACACACACATCATGCATCATATGTAAACCATCACAAACCATTCTTATTTATAGAGTACGTACTCTCTGGTTTTTCGGTAAAGTCACGTAGATAGAAAAAATAATTAATAAAATAGAACACGATGTTTCGCTCGCAACACAAGCGTCCGTCGTGTTTTCTTTTATTTTATGTTTTTTTCTATCTACGTGACTTTACTGAAAGACCCAAAGAATATTAATTCCTGCAGTCACAAAAGCTTTAAGTCAAGGTTTCACATAATTGTAGTGCAAAGAACAAGAAAGGTAAAAAAAATCACCCACACACACACAAATGACATTGCTGCATCAAGAATAATGTTTATATCGTGAACTGACGATTAAATTCACGTGCACCGCCTCCATATGTAGCATTCTGGCTTAAATGTCACATTTTTTTCGGGTAAAGAAATACAACGCAAAAGCACACGTGTGACCGGTAAGGAAAATACAAAACAAGGGACGGCAACATTCTGTCTACAATATTTACACAAATAACAAAAAAAAGCCTTTCCTTACTCAAACAAGTGTGGGGTCGTGGAAATCTCCATTTGGTGGATCTAAGCCAGTTGTGTAAATACTACGATCCCATGGCAGGGGGCATTATGTCCAGAAGACAGCGCCTTTATAATTGAGTTCATACGTACAGAAACGCAACAAAATCCGTCCATTTCTCAATTAACTTCTGGATGAAGACCCCCCCCCCCCCCCCCCAAGCTGTCAGTTATGGGGGATTGTGTTGGCCCATACTTCGCCATGCTGGCCAGTGCGCATTGGTGAAGGGAGGCTGAGGATCATTCCTCGGAAATCAAAATCAGGTTTGCAACTTCGTAGCCAAGTGCGCTCACCACTATGCCACAGCTCCCCAATGAGTACTGCACTGCCGTATAAATATCACGGTAAATATGAATGTCGTGAAACAAGGGTTCAGATTTAAAAGTGACCAACCCAATGACGAACGACGCGAGCATAACGGAACTGGTGCAGGGTGGATAACATTACAGCAGGCGAGGCTGGAGCATTGTCAGAAGATTTGAAGCTTTCGTGACTGCAAGGATTCATATTCTTAGGTTTTTTCGGTAAAGTCACGTAGGTAAAAAATAAAAATTAATAAAAGTAAAATAAAAATATAATTTTTATTTTATTTTACTTTTATTAATTTTAATTAAAATTAATAAAAGTAAAATAAAAATATAAATATATAAATAAAAGTAAAATAAAAATATAAATTTAATTTTTATTTTATTTTACTTTTATTAATTTTAATTAAAATTAATATTTTATTTTACTTTTATTAATTTTAATTTTTTACCTACGTGACTTTACCGAAAAAAACCTAAGAACATTGTCAGAAGGTCAAGGTGCACGGACGTCCACAAAGATGCTGGAGTTTTCGTTGCGGTGTGATCCGTTTTTGGAGACATGGAATTTGCTGGTCACAATTCTGTGCCAAATGAGCCGCATCAGAGGTGTGCTCTTCATGCCAGCATCTGAAACGTCACGTTGCACGGCAGGTATTAGCTAGGATTACGTCAATATACCAGGCGAGGTAGTTAATATCTCGCCACTGCAGTGAGATGTGGACTACCTCTCCCAGCACAACCGACCCACCAGTCTTTCCTGCAAGTTACTCCATTTCGGCGTTGCTCCACTATACCCAAGACATATGAATTATTAATGTTATGCATTGTAACGAATCACCGTCCAGCGATTTGATGAATTGTCGGAATTTAGCTTTCCAATTATATAAATAAACAATATTTTTCTCATTTTCATGCCTGTGTTAATATTTTATCTGCCTCATTTATAGTTTTTACGATAGTTAGTCCAAACGTAATATGCTTATAATTTGCATACATTATAAATAATTCATTCGTACAATCACAATTTAATTTATTGTAATTTGAATATATAATAACTCCATTATTCCTGTGCAGGTTTCAGTGCATTTTTCGAGAGCTTAATTTATAAACTAATGTGTCAATGTATGCCTAATCATTGCGTGCCTAACATTTGTGCTCCGTGTATCCATCAAGCATCATGTAGGCGGAACGGCGCTGCAGTGATTTTCCCACTTGAGCTCTGAACCCGGCGCCCTGAGTTTGATTCCCAGCCACGACTACCGTCAGTGGCAAGTGACATCTGAACTGGTCCTGGGTGCCCCCCATTCACCCGAGTGATGGAAGTTATTGCCAAACAACTCCCACGACCGACAACCGCACGGACAGCTGTCCTCATCCGGAAGTGGATTAAACACATTCCTGCGGTGGGAGCTGGTAGGAACGTTGGGTTGCTCGGTCAATGGCCAGGGTCAACGGCGGCGTGGTGTATTCCGCAATTGCCCGACTGTGAGGGCGGGCACAAGCCGGCGTGAGTAGGTTAAACGTTGAGTTTTATAAGGGCACCACAGGGTGACCAGCCCCTCCCCACCCAGCCCCACCCAGCCCCATCCTCCCAACCCAGCCCCTCCCCACCCTCCCCACCCAGCCCCTCTCTGCACGACGGACGGACACAATAATCCCCTGTGGACTGGTGTAACCAGGAGGTTCCTACCAGTACAAAGGCACGTCAAGTATTGTAAATGTATTGAGCGTAACGTATTTAATATATTCACTCCGATTAAATCGCATTACGCTCACGCTACTATAATTGTGAATCATTCAAAGCGTGCTCACCATTGCAGACAGGTCTACAGTTGCCGCAAGTGGCTAATGTACATCCACGCGTGCATTCTTTAGCAGTCCTGCCACAAACTGCAAATAATAAAAGGTTGTAAATAAAACGACATGTTCATTCTTGTACGGGACTTCATGGTTAAGTAACACGTGCCGCATGTAGCTAGTGTTACAATAGAGAGCATCACTCTGTCAATTTTCTTGGGCTGCCGCAATATGAAAATGGTACATTAACAGTTCAACGTTCTAAACCTGAGTAGCCGTTCCTCTTTGTTATTTATGTATATTGTTCATATATATTGTTAATGTATATTGTTTATGTATTTATATTATGTAAATTGTTAATGTATATTATTTATATATATATATATTTGCTCATGCGTAGAATTCATGTGTATTATTTATGTATATTATTTATACACAGTTCACGTATATAATCTATATATATAAAATCGTTCATGTCTGTCTGTCTGTGTGTGTGTGTGTGTGGACTTTGGCCCATACGCACTTTCATTGGACGGCGGTTGCCCCTGGCAATGGCTAGCCACGCCTTCGCCGCTTTCATTGGACCTGGCAACGGCTAGCCACGCCTTCGCCAAGGGCTGCAGTTTCATTGGACGGCGGTTGCCCCTGCCAACGGCTAGCCACGCCTTCGCCACTTTCATAAGCTCCGTATTTAATTAAATAATAGCCAATACACAGTATTGTTGGAGCGCTAGGGGGGGGGGGAAGGAACGCCACCCGTACCCTGCCTCTTCCAAGCCGACAATTTTAGGCGAGGCCGCAGGCTTTGCACGCTACTAGGCCTCGACACCCACCACGCCACTCTGAGGTAAATTCATCAAAGTTTTTCCTACTCTTCACTACACCCCCACCACAATGTGTGCTATTAATATTACTTTTAAACCCAACGCGCCAACAATCGATTACTTTAATGTTCACTGTACAAATACTCATTAAGCTGGGTGAGCGTACTGCCAGTCTATCATGTACACTGTAGCCTGCTTATTAAGCTCGGTGAGCGTACTGCCACTCTATCATGTACACTCTAGCCTGCTTATGAAGCTGAGTGCGTGTACTGGCAGTCTATAATGTGGACTCTTGCCTGGTTATTATAATCGATTCTTTATATGTTCTTTGTACAAACAGTCATTAAGCTGCTTGAGCGACCCCAGTTCGATTCCAACTCACGCCCACCACCGCTGACGATTATTTGAAACGGACCTGGCCCTCCCCTAGGTCCACTCAGCCTCAAAAGCGTAACTGCTGTCGTGTGTGAACATCGTCACTGGGGAGACAAAGGCGGCGGGGCATCGTGGATCCAAGTCCCGGGCGAAGCCGGGTCATGTGTATGTGTGTTTGTGTTTATGTTTATGTCTGTGTGTCTCTATGTATGTGTGTATGTATGTGTATGTATGTGTTTGTGTGTATGTGTGTGTGTATGTATGTGGGTTTTTTTTATGTCTTTATGTGTATGTCTGCGTGTCTCTATGTATGTGTGTATGTACGTGTGTGCCTGTGTTTGTGTGTATGTATGTGTGTGTCTATGTATGTGTGTGTCTATGTATGTGTGTGTATGTGTGTGTATGTATGTGTGTTATGTGTCTGTCTGTGTCTGCATGTATGCGTGTGTGTATTGTGTATGTGTTTGTGTGCATGTATGTGTGTGTTTGTGTGTATGTGTATGTCTGTGTGTATGTGTTTGTGTGTATGTGTGTGTATGTGTTTGTATGTGTTTGTGTGTTTACGCTCGCATTACACAAATGTGTTGCTGGTCTAAGGCGTTCCTCGCACAGCATTGCCGCTTTATTATTTCAGTCGTTTACTGCCTTACGCACCCTGAAAGTCGTGTGTGTCTGCAGCAAGCGCGTGTATGTGTACCTATGGACGCGCGCGCGTGTGTTGTGTAGGGGGAACGGTAGTGTAGTGCTTAGCGTGCTGTCTGTGTGTGTGTGTGTCTGTCTGTGTCTGTCTGTGTGTGTCTGCGTGTGTCTGTGTGTGTGTCTGTGTGTGTGCGTGTGTGGTGTGTGGGGAGCGGTAGTGTAGTGCTTAGCGTGCTGTCTGTGTGTCTGTGTGTGTGTGTGTCTGTCTGTGTCTGTCTGTGTGTGTCTGCGTGTGTCTGTGTGTGTGTCTGTGCGTGTGTGGTGTGTGAGGAGCGGTGGGTGTAGTGCTTAACGCTACGCTGCGCTACCAACCCGGCGAACCCAGTTCCATTCCCGCTCACGGCCACCACCGGTGACGATTATTTGAACCTCCCCTAGGTCCACTCAGCCTCAAACGAGTAACTGGTGTGGCGTATTAACATCGACACTTGGGAGACAAAGGCGGCTGGGCGTGGTAGATCCAAGTCCCGGGCGAAGCCGGGTCATGTGTATGTGTTTATGTGTATGTCTGTGTGTCTGTATGCATGTGTGTATGTATGTGTGTGTATGTGTTTGTGTGTATGTCTGTGTGTGTATGTATGTCGGTTTTGCCGCCGTGGTGGATCCAAGTCCCGGGCGAAGCCGGGTCATGTGTATGTGTTTATGTGTATGTCTGTGTGTCTGTATGCATGTGTGTATGTTGGTGTGTGCATGTGTTTGTGTGTATGTATGTGTGTGTGTATGTATGTGGGTTTTTTTGTATGTGTTTATGTGTATGTCTGCGTGCCTGTATGTATGTGTGTATGTACGTCTGTGGATGTGTTTGTGTGTATGTATGTGTGTGTCTATGTATGTGTGTGTATGTGTTTCTGTGTTTGTATGTGTGTGTATGTATGTGTGTTATGTGTCTGTCTGTGTGTCTGCATGTATGTGTGTGTGTATTGTGTATGTGTTTGTGTGTGTTTGTGTGTTTACGCTCGCATTACACAAATGTATAATGCGGGTCTAAGGCGTTCCTTACACAGCATTGCCGCTTTATTATTTCAGTCGTTTACTGCCGTATGCACCCTGAAAGTCGTGTGTCTGCAGCAAGCGCGTGTATGTGTACCTATGGACGCGCGCGCGTGTGTTGTGTAGGGGGAACGGTAGTGTAGTGCTTAGCGTGCTGCCTGTGTCTGTGTGTGTGTGTCTGTGTGTGTGTGTCTGTGTGTGTGTCTGTGTGTGTGTCTGTGTGTGTGCGTGTGTGGTGTGTGGGGAGCGGTAGTGTAGTGGTTAGCGTGCTGTCTGTGTGTGTGTTTCTGTCTGTGTGTGTCTGCGTGTGTCTGTGTGTGTGTCTGTGTGTGTGTCTGTGCGTGTGTGGTGTGTGAGGAGCGGTGGGTGTAGTGCTTAACGCTACGCTGCGCTACCAACCCGGCAAACCCAGTTCGATTCCCGCTCACGGCCACCACCGGTGACGATTATTTGAACCTCCCCTAGGTCGACTCTGCCTCAAACGAGTAACTTAACTACTGTAGCGTATTAACATCGCCACTGGGGAGACAAAGGCGGCCGGCCGTGGTAGATACAAGTCCCGGGCGAAGCCGGGTAGTACAGCTAGTGTACGTATATTGTTGTGAATTATTTACGTATATTGTTCATGTATATTATTAATGTATATTATGTATCCGTAAAACTTTTCCGGATAAACATATGGCGCATTGTAAGATTTATAGAGCGTGTAAATATGTATAAAGTCGTATGGCGGCCTTATGTTGCGGAAACTTTAGCTGAATAACTTTTTAAGACATTTACATTCGTAGAGGACAAAATTGGGAAGTAAACAACGTGAAATACAAAGTTAAGGGAAAACGCTCAACTCGTAAAATTGTGCGTAGTATCGTAAAAAATGATTGTGGAAATGTGGCCATGTAGGGTACTTACTCTTCAGCCCAGGCGATATGAAGTAAGGCAAACACTCGCACACGATGATGGGTCTCTCTACAGGCGGCTGTCCGGAGTCACACAAAAATCCACTTAAGCCCATTTTGCAATCTGCAGAAGAGGACACGAAATCTGTTTACCTGCTCACCATCTCGCATGCGTTTGTATTGTTTGTTGTTGCAACATTCTTACTGTCCATTGTGTTGCATTTTCCTTACCGTTCCCATGTGCTTGGACTTCTTTACAATTTTTTTTTACATTTGGAGATGGTGAATTTAATTGTCAGTTCACCATATAAACATTATTCTTGATGCAGCAATTTCATTTGTATGTTGTTGGGTGATTTTGTTTTACCTTTCTTGTACTTGCACTACAAACATGTTTTTGTATTGTTTGTTTTTGTAACTTTCTTACCCGCCCGACTGGAAATCTGTGAAAAGGAGCTTTATAGCTCATCTGATTCCTCGAGTATAAATACTTATTCTGATTAATGGTGGCCAAGTAAAATTGTCACCACCCAAAAGTGAACCTCCACCGACGCTGCATAAATACTGCCCAATGGTGCTTTGAGCACGGGGACGTCTTGACAAGGCGCTTGACATTTGGCACATTCTGGGACGACGTGATGAATAGTAGACGATGCACAAAAATTATCTAAAATTACCACGTGACTTCTCAGGACTCGTTTGGGGAAATTGGGAGGGGGGAAGTAGAGTGCTGTCCCGTGATTGGTGCCGTTTGCATTCCCAACGGTCACAATGTGCCAGTCAAAGGGGGCATTTAATTGTTATCTGCCTGCAACCGATGTTTGAAAAAGGTAGCTATACACTTGTAGACAAACCTTGGATGCTGTGTTTCAGACAGTCCATGATTTCAGGTTATCAATAATTCAAAAGAACAAATTGTTTCCAGAAACTCACTGAACTGAATTGCCTCTAATGAACTCTAATTATGAAAGAGACGAGCCATTACTAAGTCACTCTCTTCATAGTTCATCTCAGTCCAATGCCTTAACAGTCCGTGTCGTACATCCCAATGAAGGGAGCCAGTGCTCCACATGATGACAACTGTGAGTTTTCTAACAAAGCGGCACCCGTTTTATTAACTCTGTTGGAGGGACAGTGGACCCGAGTCAAATCCTGACTGGATTCGAACTTGCGACCCTTCCATTCACGATCCTCCCAATGACGCATGGAAGGCAAGTCGACGCACTACTCACGCGCTTTGACGTACAGCGTCGATTTAGAGTTGGCTCCAATGACGCTGCTCGTGTCTGTCAAGCAGTATTTTCTGGGCAGTGCCACGACGCCAGTGCAATGTGCAAGTCGGAGGCAAGTTTCCATGGCGTTTAACAAGGAGTCGGCAGCAGAGCACTTGGCCGCCTCGTTTGCACTTAATCCTTTCAATTTCTTCATCTCGAACAGCGACGTTGCTTTGGTGATCAAGAATGGACACGCATCAAATTCGTTGAATAGGCGGCACATGGTACAAGTGGTCAATATGCATGTGGAGGTGCGTTTGAGTTGTGCTTTCAAGTCAATAAGATGTTTTTAAAGGACGGTCGTTACCCATTATTGATACTAGACTATGATAATATTTTACGTTGCCATTGAGTCTGTGCATTGCTTCACTAATTTTATATTTAGAGTAACTGATTGTTGGGAGAAGTAGCAGTAGTAGTTTGTTATTTATTTTGTATTTATTTTAATTAAATTTTTTACCTACGTGACTTTACCGAAAGAACTAAGAGTATGAATCATTGCAGTCACGAAAGCTTCAAATCTATAATTACTTTGTTATTCTCGTGTTTTTAAGTATTATTTTTACCAGTGCCAGTTTTGAGCCAAACATATTTTACATGTTTAGTTTGTAAAAAAAATAGTAACCTCTTTCATTTCTGATAAATGTGACTACCTCATTTCCTGAGTTCAAACAATGCAACGTATTCATCTTACAGCATTCATTCGTTTTTATATAAATAGCACACAATTGTACAATTTAGCCAACACCAATCCACTACAACCAAATTTGCAACACGATTGATTTAACAATCAAAGTGTGATATATCCACTGAGCTACATTTCATGAAGATGGATTTGCAGCCTCTGCAGGTGCAAGATGTGTTATCACCGAGGAGGGATGCATGCAAATGTGTTCAGGTTTTCTTGTACAGCAGCCATCTATCGTACTAAGATCCACTCTCTGGTGTCGCTGCACATTGCTGTAATCCGGAAAGTTAAGAGATGGAGTTGGCGATCATAATGTTTGGTGCACGCACATGGAGGCCTACAGGGAAGCAAGCTGTTGAACTATTTGAGCAGTTTCGTGAGTCTTATCCACCCACGGGTGTGGGTTTCCTCTGGGTAGTCCCGGTTTCTCAAATAATCAAAATGCTCATTAAGGAAGTGACAAAACATCTCCAGCAGGTCCCTATTGAAAATTAGCCTTGAGATTCAATTGAGACTTTCCTGTGTAATTGTTTTAAATTAATCTAATAACACTCGCTAATACTTTTAAGTGCTTTTGTGAACAAACTGGATTTGAATTTGCATGTCTTGTTAGACAAACACACACATAAGCATTTTTCGATTTAAAGCTTTCGTGACTGCCGGGGTTCATCTTCTTGGTTCTTTCGGTAAAGTCACGTAGAAGGGAAGTAACAAAATAATAAAAATAAAACATAATTAAATAATTCTCACGACAGGCGACAGTGTCGCCTTGACAGACCTGGTTTTCACCTGAGGACGGCTGCTTGCGTTGTGGCCGAAACGTCGTGAGAATTATTTTATGTTTTATTTTTATTATTTTATTACTTCCCTTCTACGTGACTTTACCGAAAGAACCAAGAAGACACACATAAGCAGTTTCATTATCTCTGCAGCCAACGTACATCGAGTGGTTTTACAAATGTAACCCTTGCTCTTTGCACACTCGTCGTCCTTCCAGAAGTCGCTTCTCGAGGAAAGGTAAACACAGTCAAGCAGTCCTCCCTTTGATCCGTCATCATTCAAGACGCTGGGGAAAACAGGGCAATGGACAAGACAAAACAGTAGGAACGCCCACACTATTTTTGTTTTACTTCATCAGGTAAGACCCGCTGAGCTATATATTGCCAGCCACCTACAGGCCCGACTCAAGTCATCACATGCTGCTGTACACACATGCATTGATGCACTGCACAGCACATCAGGACCTTCACAGAACCACACTTTACTCCCTTGCTGCACAAGGATATAATTAAAAGAGTGATCCATTCCTAATGTGCCACATATAGATATTTTTAAAGAAACGACCTGGCCACAAATTATAGGTCAACAGAAGTGGCTTATCAGGTGGACAGTTATAGGAGCCAAATATTCTAGACGCGTGTTGGTTCTAGATGCGGAGGGAAAAACCGGAGGACCCGCAGAAAAATCCACGCGACCACGGGGAGAACATGCAGCAGGCGTCACAGCGTCGGGATTGAAACCACAACCTCCTGTATAGCAGGCGAGGTAGTTAACATCTCGGACACCGCAGCACCCCAACATCTTCGATATGTCTCAACATCTTCTTTAAAGGCCTTATTAAGTGCACAATTGCTTTTAACCTAAGGTTAAAGTCCTCATAGTTCCGGAAAGAGGTCCACTGTTCGTTGTATAGTGGCACATGTCTGTAGTACAGCACTTTGGCGGAGACAGTTGGTGCATCTGTGGTGCCACAGCGACGGGGCCGCTCTGCCGAGCCAGGGAGCCGCCCGGCTTCCCCCACCGCACTGCCCCCCATCACCCCCCCCACATAAGCACACACCCGCACGCATTCCCCCCCCCCCCCCCCCCATAGAGCTGGAAGGGAAGGTTACCTGATCGACCGGTTTTTATCCGAGAGACCCTTATCGGGATTAATTCTCACGGTTTCCGGCGATCAGGGAATTGGATGACCTCCCCCGTGCTACGTTGCGCCGCGGCGCTGCGACCGGCCTTAATATGGTGTGGTCGCGGCGTGGGGCATTCGGCCACCGCGGTTGAGGCGCATTTCCCCCCACACACGCGAGTATCGACGGGGCAGGCAGAGGGAATAAGCATTGTGATGGAGGAGCTTCATTAGAAAACACGCAGGCACCATTATTAGGGGAGTTAAAGGAGAAGGCTATTAGCATGAATAACCTGGAGAGCGGGGTCACGCGGGCAGCCGTGCACAAATTCCCACGGCGCGCCTTTGTGATGGACACCGCCGCATGAACCTCGATGACGGGGGCCTGCGTGAGAAAAGGATTGATTGGAATTTGCGCCGTGCAGGTCGCTCATTGATTAGCAGAACAAAGGCACCGCGGAGCTGCCTGGCCCGGGCGAGGGGGGCGCGTGCCATTGTTTGGAGTTCACGCCGCGCGGACAAAGGATTAATTAGCATAGCGAAGGCGCACGATGCGTGGGAAGGGGGTAGGGGTCCGGGAATCAGGATAAATGGGGAGCGCAAAGGGGAAATCGCTCTCTTACTCCAGCGCCAGGCGACCAGACGCAGCTCGAGCCAGCGACCCGGACGTCCGTGCGACGCACCGAGGCACGCGGTTAACACAAGGATCAGCGGACCGCCGTGGACACTTAACAGTGAGTAAGAAGGTGAATTAGAATCATAGCCGATAAATAGGGAATAGGTGCCGGTTTAGTGGAATAGGCCAGCCTCGTCGACTCACTGATTCAACATTAGTTACCAGGTAATAAATCATTAATAGCGAAGCGTGGTCTCGCGTGATCTTGTCGTGCAGGGTGAGCGTGTGTACGCAGTGGTTCTGTAGTGCTGCGGCTCGCCTCGGGGGAGCGCTGCGCAGAGCGGTGCGAGAGTGGGTGTCGCGTGTGTTCACTCCGTGTGTGACACAGGTGCACGATCATAACGCGAGTAGTCAGTGTGGAGTTGGAGTGTACGGCGCGGTGTGTGTGTGCGTGCATACGTTCGTTACGTGTCGGATACGGATGCGCATTGGTAACGTGCCGCACAGGGCTATACTGCGAGCACGGCGTTTGATCGACGATGATGTGCGCACGTATGCTCTCAGCGTGGGAGCGCGGCGCGAGGCTGTAACCGTAAGGGCGTCGCGTTCGAATGCCGGCGAAACCGTAGCGGGTAATAGGGAGGTGGGGTAACGTAAACGGAATAGGGGATGAAGGCGGGAGGGACCCCGGGGGCCGACGGCCCCCACACATCACTCAAATTCCCAAAATCTGCGAGACTGTTTGGGGGCCAGGAGATGGCAGTAGAGCAAATTGATGAAAATAGCCCGTGCAGAGCTTTGAGTGTTATCCATCGTATGCATGGGTTTTCTCCAAATACTATGGCTTTCTCCAACACACAAAACACTAATGAATAGAATTGACAAAACATCCATTGCCGAAACATAAACCTTAGTGAGGCTTTCCAGGGTAAATACTTTCCACTGAAGCCCTTACACACGTGCAAAGCTTACTATCACTGCATGTTCAACCATCTTTCAATCTCAAAATTCCTTTAGAAAAACACAATTGATGGAATATTAATTGAAATGGCGTTTCTTGCGTAGAGTTCCAATTACCTACGCACTGCGGGGTTCAGGGCGGCTCCGTCGTGCCACACAAACACTGACTCTTTCTTTGTGTCCGTGAGGCCGATCCAGTACTCTCCATTGGCAACGAGGTCCAACCATAGCTTGGGACATCAGACAAGGCAGCAGAGAGAGGGTGAGTTGTCCACAGCAAGCAATTGCCCTTGTACATTAATGTCACATTAATGTAACATTAGTGTTACATTCGTGTTACATTAATACAACACGAATAATAATTTTGTATGCTGCATATGAGGCACGTATTGGAATGTCTAGGAAATGAGAATATTTGGCTGCTATACAATTACAAGTGATGAGCCACTTCGTTGAGCTATCGTTTGTGGCCAGGTCGCTTCTGAAAAAGAGCTATACAGCTCAGTGGGCCTTACCTGGTAAAATAAAAAGAGTTTAGTTTGATTAGGTTAAATATTCTGTACGTCTATCCGTCGAAGGACACTTAACATATTTTTGTTTGTTAACCTATGACACCCCTAAATCATCAGCAGCCATGATCTGTCCACTGCTGGCTGAAGCCATCCACCAGCCGTTGGCATCTCTCACAATCCTTCAATGCAACAATCTATCTGTTTGCAAACTGCAAATACAAGATTGATAACCGACATTTTCACGGTATTCATATTTTGTTGAATTAGGCCCATGCATTGATCTAAACAAATGTGTGTCGTTCAGACCCTCAATCTTCCGACAGAGCTATGTGATTACGAGTACATACAAGCTTTTAACGTTCAAATTATTGCTGTTTCAGCTCACCAGTGAGTTGAAGGACACCACACCACACAACTAAATGCAGCAATTTTATACGTTTCTGCATTTCGTGGAAACTTCATCAAACATCATCAGGACAGGACATCAGAATAACAATCCAGGAAGTCAGAAGTGCAGTGTTACCTTACCCGACTCATTAAATAGGTGTCACGACCTCACAGGGACAACCAATTAGATTTAAACTAGCTATTAAAGAATACAAGCGCATGTATACAAATAATCGATAACCTGAGCCAATTAAGCCACAAACTTGGAGTAACCTTAAACCCCTAGTTGGTACACTTAGCTCTGATAGCTCTGCTATGTGTACATTAGCATACGATGTAGACATTTCACATTCCCGTGGTAGATGCCAGTCACTCAAAAGGACAAGCACTCTTGACTTCCCTTCAAGTGATACCCGTTTAATTTCTGATCACCAACCATGATTTCAATCTGCACACTTGATTTCGAGTCAAGCCTTGCCATGGCACTGACCGTTCAAATCCGGGGTGTTGTCCAATTACTCATCGCGTTTGTTTTTAAAAGTGGCCGTGAAACCAAAGTAACTGGCAAAGAGGAACACAAAAGTACGACATTCAAAACCACATGGTCTATCTTACGTTCATATCTTATACCGCACTTAATACTCTCACACCAGAGGGTCGGCAACCAAAGTAACAAGCAAAGCCATTTGTTTCGAATTTGGTATAAAAGAAACTCAAGAGCCGCAATGCAGTTCTTAAAGAGCCGCGCGTGCGGCTCTGGAACCGACCCGTCTTCTTCAAGTTCAAGTTCATGTATTAGGTGCAGCCCTGTGAGCCATTCGGCTCTTGAATTGGGTGCAACCGCAACAAACAAGAAACAAAAACATGAACAAAAAACATCTTAAAGTGAATATGTGACTAAGTGCAAACAGAAAATCCAAGAAAAGACAGCAAAATATTGCAGAAAAATATCACCGTACACCAACGCTGTGTGCAATAATCACAGTGGGATGCAAGTCAAACAACCAACAACAACCACAAAACAACTTAGATTAAGGCCATCAGTCTAACTCTGTACTACAACAAACAAAAATGGCCAAACCAATACACTTTTCGAAATCACCAAAATAAAGCCATGAAAGCAATGAAACGAACCCTCGAAACACAGGTCAGCTGACCTTCTCGTCAACGCTGTGTACGGTCAGCAGAGACGCGTTTCGGAATGCCTGGCAAGCTTTGTGCGCTTCGCTCCATGACATGGGGTGGGAATGCTGCAGGAGGTACCAAGTTTCATTCCAGAACTTCCATCCTGCCATCCCGGGGTTTCTGCTCGTGTCTGGATCGTGTTAAATGACAGCAAGGCACACACACACACATGACAAAGACGGTCACTGCATCGCACGCTTTCAGATGCACTTCTGTGGCTATCTGGAACGCTCTTCCGATATTAGTAAAAAGTCCTGACATGAGGGAAATATTCGCTGGATATAGGACCATTATTAGGATTAAAGAAATCCAGTAGTTTGCAAATATGCATGTTTCCAAGAAGCTGAATTACCTTCAATCTCTTTAAAGATTTCTGCTTCTGCACAATTTATTAACTTAGCTTCTTTCGAAGGACCTTTGTAACCGACACAATTTCCACCGTCCACCGTTAGAAGCTTTCCCTTGGGACTCAGAACAAAGGATCCATAGCTCATTGGAAAACAGTCTTCGTCGAGTTGCAATCCCGTAAAGGCTGCTTCCAGCTGAGATAGAAAAAATAAAACTCGTGTTAGAGACCCAAGAGAACATGTTACATCATCAATATGCACGTAAATCTGCCATTTTATTTTTTGTTTAATAATAAACACATAGTCCCTTATCAAATACAATGAATTACCCCTGCAAAAAAACATGATTTTATGCAAAACAATATTTATAACTGTAGGAATATTTACGAGAAAAATAGTCTGTATACAAAACCGCACGCTGTAGGTATCTAACTTATTACCTATGTAGAGGTTTTTTGAGAGACGTACCTCATTATTAATTGATTGCAATTTCAAACAACACAGCCCAACGGCTTTGTCATTCAACAAATATGCACCTATAAGCCCCGATAGGCCGGCTCTGCCAAGCTGAGCAAAGCCCTCTTGCTCGTGCTAGTGGCTGATCGCCAGCGCTCATTGGTAGAGCGTAGGGCGATTCAAGCTGATTGGCTAAGGAAAAATTGTAGAACGAGAGCCCGCCAAGATGAGATAAATTCTACAACGTTATTGCGTATGGCGACGACAATAAGTTCGGAAGACACATGGCAATGTCGAGGTCTGCTAGCCATAAAGGAGAGCAGACTACAGTGGATTACGATATGGTCTACAGTTCGGGTTGCATAGTAACAGTCGCACTGTGGCTTGTCTTTAGTTTTCCATTCATGAGGGAAATGTGCGCATCGGCCAGTTGATGTTCTCATGCGGTTGACGGTTACACCGATGTCTTCGAGGAAAGTCAAAGGCAGGAGGTGCGTGCAATGTCTGGGTCTCGAATGAGGCGTTAATTCTGGACGTCAGCGTTGTTCTACTTTGTTCTCCAGCGTTCCTCCAGATCTGCGTGAGAGTCTCTGACGGTGACGGCACGGACCCAGAAGGAGGATTGGGACTCGAGTTGGCAGCCAGGTGAATGAGGAAGCTATCGAGGAGCGTTAGTCAGGGGGCAATGAAGAGGATTGGCTTCAGGGTTGGGGGCAGGTAGAAAGTTCGAGGGGGCTCTAGAAGGTTGGGGGAAAAGATAGAGGAGGGGAAGCCGAGTGGACGTCGGGGATTCGTAGACATTGCCCTACCAGTGTGCATCGTGAGTTACCTGGCTGATGTTGTGAAGTGACTCATGCACCAGCTATGGCTGCAGAGTTTGGTAGTACATGTGGTTTACGTCGTTTATTGTGAAAATTCGGTCACAGTTCCTATGACCACTGTTTCATCGCTTTTATGGCTTTATTTTGGTGATTTTCGATAAGTTTTTTGGTTTGGCCATGTTTGTTTGTTGTACTACAGAGTTAGACTGATGGCCTTGATCTAAGTTGGCTTGTGGTTGTTGTTGTTGTTTGACTTGCATCCCACTGGGATTTTTGCACATTTTTGTGTACGGTGCTTTTTCTGCAATATTTTACTGTCTTTTCTTGGATTTTCTGCTTGCACTCAGTCACATATTCACTTTAATGTTTTTTGCTTGTTGCGGTTGTACCCGATTCAAGAGCCGAATGGCTCACAGGGCTATACCTAATACATTCACTTGAACTTGAAATAAGCCCTTACCCTTAATTGATCACCGTATTGAGGGCAGACACCGTAGTTCCTACAGGCATCTTCTGTAGGAGCCTGCCACCTGTAGGCCTATGAGGCAGCCGGCAGGAACACAGAAAGTAAGTTACTCAGCCATCTGTATAAAGATCCACTCATACATGTGGAATTAATAAAATATCCAAAATTACAAATATCCTAAACAACTGTCTTGGGACATCGTAAGGCTTTCCTGAGTGAACAAAAATATTGATATAAGTGAGTGTTGTTCTGTATTGACTACCATTAGGCACTTGTTTTTTTGTATATTCCGCATTCTAAAAGAATTTGTGAATTCCCACTCTGTGGCGTTTACGTCACACCGTGATTTTTTCCAAAGTAAAACATTATCATTCGCACACAAGTATAAGTTTTTGCTGGTTGATAGAACAGTAATGTATTCATAGGAATCTGCAAAAAAAATCAGACAATTGTAACGTGAATAATTCATTCATTATCTATGTAACGCACACATTCTACCAGTTTGCATTTTTCTGCAAACTAAAATTCTATTCACACGTTTCTTTCACAATTCATGAGGGTAGGCCACTAGGTAGATGAAAATGATGTTCAAAATTCCACGTTTGAATCATGACCAGTAAATGGATTATAAAAAATGAATGTGAAATTTTACAAATGGGCCAAGGTCTTTGTTACAAAAGGGTTAATGCACGTCAGGTTTTCATATTGCTAAAAAAATATATATTTAAAACATATATACCCCCTTCACATTCATTCATGTTCTGAAATACAGTATGTGTATATTGAACTTCTTTCTTTCGCAGTGTATGTAGCCAACTATGCTAACATTCCATTTAAATGGAAATGTACATGTTACAAATACTGATGCGAGAGTTATTCCAAAGCAGTCTTAACTATCTTTACAAGGGCCCTCGGTTTCCTTGAACTTGGCAATTTATCTTTGTCGTTTGCAATATCCTACACAGCCTTGCCGTGAATCACATAACGTCTTTGAATCAATTACTGAACTTGAATCAACTATTAAACATCTCCCACTCCTGCTTCCTCCATTACAAAGATGCTGTCTTTCCCTTCCGGCCTTCCATCTCTTCTCATACCCTGGGGGCTGTGACTTCCCAACTACCTCTCCCATTGTCCGAGCTCCTGCTGTTTGTGGCTGTGCATTTAACGCCGTCCCTATCGTGTAACAACACGTGCCAAAGCCCTTCGTGTGAATTGATTTTGCCTTGGCGCTGATGACTTGATTTATAATAAAGCGTATGGGCCAAGTGTTGAACTTTTCATACTTAAATCACCATTGGGTGGTCATTTCCATTGGTAGGCTTGAGCCTATGGCAGGTCAAAGGACTACTTCCCACAGTACAATTTATTTTGTTAAGCCAGGCAGGCTCGATTAGAATTTTCGACCTTAGAAATACTGCGCATGAGACACCCACTGCCGAAAAATGTTCAGTCTTCCAAATTACCAATCGGACTTGGATGGCACTGCACATTAAGTATTCCTGATTTTGTAATCGTATATTTTTAAATCAATTCACATCTGACCTCCCTGAAAATGAGTGAATAATCCGTGTATGCACTTTTATATTGACACATGCTATAGTGCAATCATTGTAAATGCTGTAGCATATATATATATTTTTTAAGGTGTTTATATTTGCGAGCCCAGATTTATACCATTCTGTGTGCTTCGTGCGCCTTAATGTCATAATTATTACCATCGGAAACGCCGTTATGAGCCTCGCACTTTCTTACCTCGATTGTTATCGAGTAGCACTACGTCTGTAGTCTTGCTGTGCTTATCTGTCCACTGAAAGACGTTTCCCAAAACTCGCGATCTCACCTTTCCATGGCACAAATTTGCTATGTATGAATACGGAAGGATGTAATTCCAAATGTTTACGTTTCTGAGGAGACCGACATTCTTAATTTCATTATCAAATGGTCCTGCAATAATAACACCATAATATATGATTAAAAGGAACACATGCGCGCACACACACACATCATGCATTATATGTAAAACATCACAAACCATTCTTATTTATAGAGTACATACTCTCTGGTTCTTTCGGTAAAGTCACGTAGATAGAAAAAATAATCAATTAAAAGAAAACACGATGTTTCGGTCGCAACACAAGCGTCCGTCGTGTTTTCTTTCATTTTATTATTTTTTCTACCTACGACTTTACCGAAAGAACCAGAGTGTAGATTCCTGTAGTCACGAACACTTGAAATCAAGATTATAGAATACATGTTAGGACATTTGCCACTTCAGGCAGTCGTTTGAAGGGGTTTCGGTAGTATGTTTCCTGTCTCTGATCAGCAATATAGTAGCATGCTGCTGGTTGAATGGACAATAAAGAGACTCGGATATAATCTGCCAGAGTAGGTCACTGTATGCAAATGCCGTGACCAACGTTTAAGAAAAGACTGTCCTGAGAGAGTGAAAAAAACCAAGGAATCGCGAATTGCTTCCTTAAGGATACAAAGTGTCTGCACTGATAGATGAGAGAGTCGCCTTGGGTCACAGGAGAAACAATAAACGGCGGTATTACGTGCAATGAATAATGCATGGTTATAAAGTTGATTCGCTACTGATTTATGCATCAGTTTCTTTAGCACATTCAACTATTCGTTTACCCAGGGACACCCGTGTAAACAGGGTCTATTGACCCACTTTCAGGACAGTTCTGCTCGGGATGTTTGGCCAAATAAATCGTGATTATTTGTGTCTTTAAAGGGGAAACACCCTATTAGTATATTTTGGTACTGACAAAGGAGGTCCCATGATGTAGCTGCTCACCCCGAGCTCTCAGTACTCTGGTAGTGCGTTGTCTTTGAACTGTGCGCCTTTTGGCGTCATCTGGTCGAACACCATATGAGACTAGGCTCTAAAGAAAGCTGTCTCTGGTGTGGAACAATCAGTTTCAAAGACAATGCATACATTATCAGAGTTTTGTTTGCATTTGACTGCAAGTATTGTGGTTAATGTAAGCATGATTCCTTGCAAAAGGTGTCAGTTTTGTTGCCAGAAAAAAGGGGAAACCCCCTATTAGAGTCTAGATTTGAAGCTTTCGTGACTGCAAGGATTCATATTCTTAGGTTTTTTCGGTAAAGTCACATAGGTAAAACATTAAAGTTAGTAAAATTTTATTATATTATTTTATTTTACTTTTACTAATTTTAATGTTTTACCTACGTGACTTTACCGAAAAAACTTAAGAATATGACCCCTATTAGAGTATTTGTGTCTGTTGAGGGATAACGGGATATCTGGGATGGAATTAACAAAAACATTATTTTCAGCCATTTGTCACTGAACTTTTGGTTGAAGGTCTCCCCATGCCACGTCAGCCATGGAGGTTGCTTGGCCATTCTTAAATGATGAGTAGAGGTTGTAGGGAAGCTCATGAACAGTTCATAAATCACTCATTAATGATATCAGCCGATGTGAATCGAACTCAGACGATCAGGTATACAAAATCAAGTCGTCAGGGTTAAAAGCAGACTGCAACAATCACTGTGCCACTGCTCCCCTATTGCCTGGATATAAGTCCATAAATATTGAGGATATAACACTCCAGAACATATTGCACGTGACGTTTTTAATTTCCGTGGTTGTGGCACAGATCTGTAAGGCAGTCCTCTGGAGGCAAGAATTGGCCGATCACATACGATTTGTGAAACTAAAAAAAAAAACTATCAACATTCAATCTCACCCAAAAATTATTATTGGAAGCACCAGGCTACTCAACTACAGGCCTCACCGTTAAAGTTATCTGGCAGCTGCCAAATAATAACAGTTCCCTCCGGCGGGATGGTGACTGGGCCATGGACATTGGTGCTTACAGAGTCCACGAACCATCCATTGATGTATATTTCACACAAACTCGTTGTGCTACTCACAGTCAGCATCACCGAATGCCAGGTGGTTAATGGTAAATCGAGCCAGTTGTTGGAGTAGAACACTTTCCTGAGTGAAACACACACACATACGGGTTAATATTGTTGCATAGGCCGGGTTGTGCTATGATTAGGGTTTTACTCAGTTGGAAGGTAGCCAGTTCAAATCCTGCTTTAGCTCGATACAATGATTACCACGTTGCGGAGTGCCAGCAGCAACTGTACTCAGCAGTAAATTGCCCCTGCCGTGGAAATGTAGAATTTCCACCATGGGTGCAGGGTTATCAATGAAGATAAATATTTCCCTATTGTTATTCTTAGGTTTTTTCGGTAAAGTCACGTAGGTCAAAAAACATGACACGCAAATTCGTGAAGCGTTCCATATTTTTGTGATTTTTATTTTTATTTTATTTTACTTTTTAATGTTTTTTGACCTACATGACTTTACCGAAAAAACCTAAGAATATGAATCATTGCAGTCACGAAAGCTTCAAATCTAGAATTTCCCTATTGCTTGTTTGAGCAGAGAGACACTTTGAGCAGACTATACACGTTAAGACTATTTTTCACGAGGGTCCTGCATTAGGTCAGTATCCGTTAGCAAGTGTTTTGGATGTGGAAGGAAACCAGATTACCCGGAGAAACCTTCGCACATACGAGGTGATGACACTCAGCACTATCATTTCCTTGATTTAACTCAGAGGAGATGGCAGCATTTAGGTACACTTGTTTAAAAAAACAATAGTGAACTAATAACCAATCTTTTTATTTTAAATGTTTAACTTTTTCTTGTTGGCATAATACTGCTAAACCAAATGACAACTAATGAATAACAAGTTTATAACATACCCCATAACACTGAACTCAATTCCCCGTGCGAGGAGTACAACGGATAGTAGTGCATCTCCTTGTATTGTGTAGTAGCATAGAATGCACATGGCGGATGTCTTCTCAGAATAATTAATCCAAAAATTAATTGAGAAATCCTTAAGGCTTTTTGAAATGGCTTTCTCATATTTCAGGAGACTTTTCTTAGGTGGTAGGGTGGTGAGCAATATATCAAAGCCATAATTAAAACCTGATGATGAAAAAAAGAGACAGAAAACAATGATTTCTACACGACACTCTTTACAACAAAATGTAAATAAACCATCATGAGTACTGAAAAATGTATAAGGCTATGATTCAGGTTCAGCATGAACTGACAATTTCAACACTGCCCTTAATAACATTGTCTACAGAAAAAAATACCAAAAATACTTGGTAAACAGTTTCGTGCAATGCACCATTCAACAGTCATGCCAATGATTTACCAAGCAAATAATCCTCACGGAGTCTCAACACTTCTCTGGAAGATGCTACATTGGAATGCTTGGCCAATATCATGAATGAGGATTTGGCATGTGGGAGGAAACTGGGCTAGACAGAAAACCCATGGATATGAGGATGACTCAGTGTTGCCATATCACAGTCCCACACCTGAAACACCTGTCAAGCTCTGGTGATTATTATAAAAGTAGTACGACCTTTTAAATTGCCTTCATTGAATGGACGTCAGTTGAAGACCGTTAAAATCATTGTTTGCAATAATTAGCATGTTTTAAGCAGCCAGACTCTGTTTATTGTTGGAGTGTACCCTGGGTCAGGAAACATGATAAAATAAAAACGGAGCTCAGTCGTTTATCTCCAGAATTAAAACCACGAAACACACCAAGAGCCATCAACTGTACAGTATAATGGTTGGACCCATTAATATATTGAGTAGAAATGTTGTTGAATAGGGCTCATTAAGCAAATAAACCTCTACTCAGAGACAAAAACGATCATTTTAGATTAATTGTCTGCAGCCACAGACACGCATAAAGATATGTTGGAACAAGAATATAAAGAATAAAAAGTCACAGACAAATGTACTCACGAGTTTCTATGGTAAATGTGAAACCAGTTATGTCCAAGGCATTGATATCTTCTAATATTACATCACCGTTAACAATGCTAAAGAGCAAAGACACATCATCGCAATGTAGATAGATGTCGTTTTCAAATATATACCAGGTAATGATGTATGTCTCTTTAGTTGACACTGCCACCTTAATAGGTAAATTTGTCATTCTAAATGCATTGTACATTTCAAAGCGTCCCTCCATATTTGGTGGATTCAACCAAAGCGTAACTTTTAAAAAGTTTACTTCTAGTCTATAGTTTACAAACGCCATGCTGTGTTCAGTTGTCACGGATGTGATGTTCACTGAGACAATCGCAGGCACGACGAATGGCTTTTGGAAAGTTATAGTTGTGACGTATTCTTGAGCAAAACCTTGGGTAAGGGAGGATACAAATGAAGAATGTATGGAATGAGTTTTCAATGCTTTATGGGAAGCAATTTTTAAAACAGTACAACGTATTTTATCCACAACCCTGTTATCCACAACTCCTATTGTCGACAGGAGTGTTAGGGCCTGCACTCATTATTCGGGGCCCTACATTTCCTATTATCTGCAGATTTTCCTATCGTACTTTGTCCGCTGTTTCGCCGATGAGTGGAGTCCATCAGCAATTTAATCTTATTGTCTATGATTTTGCCGGCGGGTAAGTGGAGGGGAATTTGCGGGGCAACCGTTTGGCAATATAGCTTCTGTGACGTGTGTCCCCACGTCACTGCAGATTAATTAAGTTCTTCTGTCAGTTTAACACGCAGGCTTTCGTGACAAATATCATCCATAATACAGGTTTTTTTGGGTTCGATAACATAAATGTGTCGTTAAACCTGCCACCACCCGACACAGCCAATAAGAAGAGGTTTGTCACATAAATAGAACAAGCCAATTCGTTACTGATGTAGTGGCGTCGGTGGAGGCTGCTGCACGACGCATAAGCCGGCCTGTGTGAGGCACGATGCGGGCCGCTCTCACCAGCCGCATGCAGTGCCAGCCTCTGGCGGTTATGGGGCAAAAGCTCCAGGGACAGCTCAGGGGTTCGCCGGGGGCCATGGCACTCCAGGTGAACCCGGAGGCCTGGTGACCAGAGGTAACGGCAAAGGAGCCCCAAGGAGGGGGCCGGGGGGACCACGGGACCAGCTCCCTCTCGAAGGCTCGAGAAGGGAGGCGTGGCCAGGGGCAGATGAAGCCCCGGGACTGGCAATATAAGCCGGACCCCTGAACGGGTCCGGGGGCTGCTGCTGTGACAAGACTGAAGACCGAAGCCGTCACCTGGAGAAGACCTGCCCGACTACAGGACCCGGACCCGAGGCAGGGTCCGGTCCGAGATAGCCACTCCGTGTGAGCGAGCGTTAGCTAGCCCGGAGGAGATACCTCCCTAGGGTAGCTGGTGAAGGTGCAGCTATACCCCTTTGTGGTTAGGGCGTATTGTAATAAACGTGTTGCCTCTAAAAAGTATCTGCCTCCCTTGTGTGAACCACTACACTAGTACAGCACACCAGTGTGTTGGAGAGCGAAGCCACATTGAGTACAACGTTTCGCCAGTAATTACAACTGGCATCATAAAGCGACAGCTTCATCAGGCGACAGCCAAATCTGGTGGTTTTAACGACACATATATTTCGCTAAGTTGCCCCCACCTGAAGAAGGACGCTTGTGTTGCGCCCGAAACGTCGTGATTTAATTTATTTAAAATTTTTACCTACGTGACTGTGATAACACTGGTCAACACACTTTTTCTGGCATGATGTATTCCAACGGTTTTAAGGTAATTTTGGGGTGCTGATTCCAAATCTGGCATCAGTTTTTGTCTATCACATCAGGTTTTTGAGATATCAAATATTGCATTTTCAATAAAAACTGCAGAAGAAAAATATTAAATAAATTTGGATATCTACATAAAATTATATTATAAACACACTATCCTAAAAATACAGCACCATATTTTAACACTAAAGCAGTCACTGACTCGCAACAACTTGCAATCATAAGTGACAAGAGTTAATTTCGGATAAAATCAATGAAAATGGGGTATGCCGATAGCATAAAAATGAGATGTGATAGAGCAGATTTGGAATCAGACCAGATTTGGAATCAGCACCTTGAAATTAGTCTAAAACAGCTGCAAAAGTCCAGGCCAGAAAAAATATTTTTTTTGTTGACCAGTGTTATTGGATATTACGGCCCTGGTTCAGGCTGCAGGACCACATGGTTGGCAGGTAAGGGCCGAGAAGCAACATCAGAATCAGAATACTGTATGTACACTGGAGGAATCCGATGAGCTATAAGAATCTCTTTTTTTGCATAATTGGTTGTACTCCACTGTTATGTTCTCAAGTCTATGCAACCTACACTAGTCAAATGTCTATGTTCAGCGTCTCCCTGATAATACAAACATGGAAACTCTCATCGCTGTTGGTGGCACTGAGCATGTGATGACAATTCCACATGATGGGTTTTCTACAGGAAGACCACAGTTGACACACAAATTGGTGCTTATTCTAGCAACTCTGGATGGATGTGATGTGACCTGTATCAGTATTTTAACACTGTTCTATATGATAAAAGGTTCAGTGGCCAGCTACATAAACAAAGTTGAAAAACTGCCATAAATGACTCAGATTGAAATAGGTGCTAATGGAATTCTTTGCTTTGTTTGATGAGACCTACTTCATGTGTTGTGTATTTACGCATTACATTGTGTATACGTGTAACGTACCCGTGTTAACGATGCATACAATTGCGAGAATTGTAATTGCTCTGGCTTTGGCCACATTTGACAGTGGACACATTGGGAATGTTTTGAATTTGGAAATTAACTTCCAAATAATTTCAGAGTGGCCTCGTAACTTAAAAGTTAGCTGAAAAAAAAAAATCGGATTAACTTTAACGAATTGATATAAAATCACTTCAGAATTTCAAAACATTCTAACAGATCAAATTTAAAGCATAACACTACATTTGAATCCTATATTTGATTTAAAAATCCATAAATTACATTTATATACAGTACTGCATTACGATGTTACCACGAAAATATAATACTCAAACAATTAAGATTTCAAACATTAAATAACTATACAGGTATTTACAAAGACAATTCCTCATGAACACGTCTTAAAATTGACTAAAATAATCTCAAAACCTTCAAATTCAAAATGTAAACGTTAATATTATAGCTGCCAAAATACGAACTGCAGCAAATAAACGGCAGAGCCGAGGTCCGTTTGATTCTCTGCACGTGGCCGGGGCCTTGTCACGTGGCACGGGCTCTGTCACGTGGCAGGGTCCTTGTCACGTGGCCGGGCTCGTGCCACGTGGCAGGGCCCTTGTCACGTGGCACGGGCTCTGTCACGTGGCCGGGCCTTTGCCACGTGGCAGAGTCCTTGCCACGTGACAATGGCACTACCAGCTGCAGGTCAACTGAATGTGGTGGTGATCGCCGCCATGTGAAGATGACAGCACGATTTGACAAGAGCATATCTCAGAAATGTGAATCTTTATTTATACTGGAGATGTCCAGTAGGGAGCGGGTCAGAACGTTACAGCAACAAACAATACAACGCGATAGGAGTACAATTTATAGGAAAAGTAAACAAATCACCTTAAACAATCTTCTTGGTTCTTTCGGTAAAGTCACGTAGAAAAGAAATAATAAAATTAGACATAATAAAATACAATTCTCACGACGTTTCGGCCACAACGCAAGCAGCCGTCCTCAGGTGAAGAACAGGTCTGTCGGAAAGACAGCGTCTATTAAACAATATACAAGTAAAACTCACTAATTGTGTTTAATCTTATCAGGTAAGGCTCACTGAGCTATTAGCTTATTTTTCAGAAGCGACCTGGCCACAAATGATAGCTCAGTTGCTCATCGTGTAGAAATGCATCGCAGCAAAAACATCAAAATAATCTCAACGCACTTTATAAAATGTGGAGGGGGGGGGGGGGAAACTGATGAGCCAGAGAAAAAAAACTAAACTCTGTTAATTCTGACACTTCGGTTCTTTCGGTAAAGTCACGTAGGTAGAAAATAATAGATCACGACGTTTCGATCGCAACAAGCTATCATCAGGTGTGAAGTATTATCAGGTCCCATTCACACGTGTTATTTTAAAACGCGATTTCACGCGCCACGCGACCCCAATGGGCCTCCATAGCGAGCTGCCGATTACCTTTCTTCCCGAATCGATTGGTGCCGATTTAAAAATCTCGATTCGATTTTATTGCGCTTGAGCCGGCTCGATTCCCCCGGGGCCGGAAACGTCTCCTCGCTCACGATCCTAAGAATCGAGACATAAACATCGATGCAGTGGAATCGATTCCCACGTGATTGCATATCGCTGTGGGATAGCGCGCGGCAAGTCGATTGCTTCTCTTATCTTTTATCGTAATTATTTAGCCGCAACATACTCTACACTCGGCTCGTCAAGACGATGGAGTCTGTCTTGGAGAAGCACTTGGACGACACGTGAGTCTGAATACACTTGAAGGCTGTTGACATCGTCCCGAGAGCACCTATAATTAGCTTTGAAACCGGCAAAGAAATGTCCCCATGTTGTAGCTGCTCAGCCCGAGCCTATACATGCTCTGATGTGCGTGGCATTGTCTGGTGGGGAGCGGTGGTGTCGTGGTTAGCGCTACGCTCACGGCCACCAACACCAGGTGATGATTTTCTGAACAGGTCCTGGGTCACCTCTAGGTCGACTCGGCCTCAAATTAGTTCCTGGTGCGGTGCGTAAACATCGGCACTAGGGAGACAAAGGCGGTCGGGCGTGGTGCTGGCCCACCCCACCCCCTCGTGTGCCGTTCCGGCCTTCATAGGTGCTCGCTAACAGCACTTGCCCCTATAGTCTGTTACAGGCTACACGAGGGGTCTTTGTGGACTGCTCATTTTGTTCTCTGGTGGTGACACCGGTGAGATGAGGCCGTCAAGAAGGCTGTACTCTGGTGTAGGCCAGTTTCAAGGACAATGCCCATACATTTTTACCAGAGCATGTTTGTTTGCATGTTCGCCACACAAGTGCCCTGTGGTTAATGCAGAACTCGTTAGACGGAATGGATGGGCCGTGGTCGATGCTAACGAGACGAGTAGCAAGCCCGAGAGACGTCCATTTGGGGAGATGGAGCGATGAGATCAGCGTTGTGTGCTGGTGTTCGGCGGATCGTAACATTACAGAACTTGGGAGTAAGTCGTGGCAAGGTATGGCGACTGATTTTTGGGGTTGCCTTCATCCAGCATTGGGCTCACATCATGGCTGGTATTGGCATTTGAAGATGGCAGAAATATGTCTCAAACTGAATGACATTACAGCATTTTCATATGTGGGGATGTGGATATAGTCGAATGTGTGTGGTTTGTGTGTGTGTTCTTTGGCAGGATGAAGAGCCCTGGTGTGATGGGTGTGTTGTGTACAGACAGCCATGGCCTAAATCTAGGAAGTAAGTCAATCAGAAACTTGCAGCACTGGATAATGAGTTGCACAGACACTTGCACAACACAATTCATGTTTATATGATAGTTGCCACTTAACATGATAATGCTGGTGACCATGATAATCTTACACTCATTTGTACAATGTACTCGTTTTAACAATAGGTAAGGTAATTTAAGGCCAGTAAGGGCACAATAGACTAGGAGACTTACAATAATTGATAGAAATGGGTTTTGAGAAATTCTTCATTGAGTTTCACAATTGACTTTAGAGAGGGTTGTGCAATTACAAGTTTGGCCGATTGATTATTTATTATGGGTACCACTCAAATAGCCACATACGTATATGAGAAAGTTACTTTATTGAGTAGGATACCTTGGAGCTGTTAAGCTGGAAGTAGGATCACTACGATCAACCTGTTCTCCAAAGTGCTGTGTTTACATTGACGCACCACCCTGCCTAAAATGTGGTCGTTTGGTTGGCATATGGGCAGTTTCACAATTATACACATGCATTTCAGACACTTTAAGTTGGTGGATTTTCAACTTGGGCATTGTATGTCAACCAACAATGACTATTTTAGATTACACGAATGTGTATTTCCTGATACGGGATTAATACTCATAAGATACAGTGGTGTTGATGTACGCAAACGAATAATTTCACTCATGCTTGGATGGTGGTTGTGCATGCAGTTTCATAACACACACCGATAAGCCACACTCTATTAATAAAATTATATACTCGTTAATGTTCTAAATTATATCCATAAAATTATTAAAATGAATTCGAAATGGTTTGAATGTGATGCCTAATGTTGTGGAAATGCCCAAGTGTAAGCAAAAGCATTCATGACGCGAGTTTTCGAAAGCTAGTTGCGTGTCGTGGTATGTGGTGTCACTCTTGTTATCCTGTGCATTGCTGTGACGGTGCTGTGTGTGTGTGCGGCAGTGTCGTGGTTCGCGCGCTGTGCTACGAACTTGGCAACCCGGGTTCGAATCCTGCTCACGGCCAACACCAGTGATTATTATCTGAACCGGTCCCAGGCCTCCCCTGGGTCGACTCAGATTCAAATGAGTGCCTTGGTGCCTTGGGGAGACAAAGGCGGCCGAGTGTAGTGTTGGCCACCCTCGTGTGCCGTGCCGGCCCTCATTGGGTCTGGCTAACAGCACTTGCCCCAACAGTCTATTAAAGGCTACACGGGGGATCTTTGTGTTTTGTGCGTGCCTGCAGGTCGGGGCACTCTCACTGAGAAGCACGCTGGCGTGGTGTCTGTGTTGGCGGCTCAGGCCACTCAGCTGTCACCGGACCCCATGGATGTACCTGTGGTTTGTCTGGAGTCAGACAATGGGTCAGCACTGCACCTTACAGCGCATACGTGGATTACTGATAACAGCCATGTATTTTAAGAGTATTATTGCTATTTACTTATAAGAGCATTATTGCTATTTACTTAAAACGCTTAGCGCACAATTGGAAGTCCAAGTATTGTATTGACTAATCCAATTTAACATTAGATGTTATATATATTATTTGCTTTTGCACAGTTTTGTCTAATGGCCACTCATGTTTTACGTGTTATTTATGCACCTTTGTTAAACGATTTTCTGCAATTGAGACCTTTTGTCTCATTAGACTTGTACATACTCTATGATGATGGATCGGATGTAAAAAAAGTGCTGTAAAACTTGTATCGTTCATCAAAATATATTCAATAATATTGGAATAGTCTTGAGACAAGTGTTAGAATAGAGGCTAATGTATAATGTTTATACCATAAAACCCCAGATAGCTGACCTAATAGGAGGAGCCCTGCTCCGGTAAGCTGAAAATTCTGGATAACCACAAAGCCAATAAAAAGCTAGTTAACAAAAACCCTTTATACATGTGATTAAGTATTAAATGCATCAGTGTCTGCTGAGTGCATTTTCCTCTATGAACCGAAGCACAAAATACTGTAGTCTGTGTTGGTCTACTGTAGTCTAACTTGTACTGTATTATAATACAGTATTTTCCATCAGTTGGTACAGAAAATTGCGACCCCCAATCTCAACCAGGCATCTCCCATCCTCTATCATCCCTCCCGTCACTCACCACTAGCATATTGTACCGTAAAACACGTTTGACTTACACTGCATAACATATTCTAGTGCATATTATATAACTATACAATATTTTACGGCAAGTCTTAGGTATATTCCATTTACGTCGATTTATGTACGTAATTTTTTTATCAATTGAGAAAGTGGGGTGAACGAATATTATGCGCATCATGCAGTGACAATTGCTTATTTTAATGCGTGTCATATAACCAGGTTAGTAGCTTATTGAGATGTATTATATCTTTAAAATATAGCTCCGATTAATCCATAGTAAAGTAAGCGACTACATTATTGCAACAAACTTTTTTATAATATAATACTATTTTATAAAAAGTTTGGCGTTGACACTGATGATGGCGAACTGTTGCAATTGATTTCAAGGTCGTTCGTTTCCATTTCGTCATAGGCTTTAATACTAATTACTGTCCACTTTTATCTGCTGCCTTGCATACATTTCGGGCAAATATATTTTCGTCAACATTGCAAGAGTGGCTTTTTGGCTCACTGTTGCAAAAAGGTGAGTGGCACTAAAGGGGCACTGGCTCAGCAGTCGATAATTCACCCGGCGGCTTGGTTTGTATGCCCCTAGCTATGCTGTGGGAAATCACATGCTGCACTGCCGTTGAAATTCTTTTTTTTTCTTTTCGCAGGAACATCTTGATCATGAAGCACAGTGACATTACAGTGGCGATGCACAAAGTGTCCTCGTAAGAAGCCAAAAGTGACCTTTGTTTCGGAGAGCAGAACGTGGCAACGCAATTGAATTACTCGCTTCAGTTCCTCTCGTGGCTTTCAATATTCGATTGCCGCATGACATGCTGTTGTAAAATTATAATGCGCGGTGTGCGATGCTCGTAGGAAGCATTTACAACATTAAAAGTGGCAGTAGTCTCGTGTACATAAGGAACCAAGGTTGTGCTTTGTAAAAAAAATGTGTTAATTTGTTGCAATGCGCTGGTGTTATAAACAATTTTCACATGGCTGGCTGTAAAGTATTAAAAGATAGGTGTCATACGATATTAGAAAGTTTGCTGTCTGGATTCCTGTCTGGATTCCTCGCTGCGTGATAACGTCGCCCGCATCCCACAGCGTTAAGCCGGATTCGTCCGTGCTCACATCAAACTCCACCATTTGTGCCAGATATGCTACGGTCGTACTATAGTAGAAAACAAGTTTTGCTGGCTGGCTGGCTGTAGGGATAAACAGATCCCAAGAATGTGCTGGGCTGCTAGTGTATAGTAAAACAAAACGGTGAACGTTTGTTGATAATTTAATTACACTTGCTTCGAGTTAAGTGCACGTGTTTCCCATTACTCTTCAGTTTGTAACGCATTGTAAACACATTGTATTCAAAGAGGTTTCCTACAGCTTGTAGGTATCATTTTAACGATGCTTGTCCGTTTAATTAAATTACATCTTCACAAATTGACCATATCTTTTAAATTTCGATTTAAAGCTTTCGTGACTGCAGGGATTCATCTTCTTGGTTCTTTCGGTAAAGTCACGTAGAAGGGAAATAATATAATAAAAATATAACATAATAAATAACAATTCTCACGACGTTTCGGCCACAACGCAAGCAGCCGTCCTCAGGTGAAGAACAGGTCTGTCGGAAAGACATCGTCTGAATGACGCTATTATTTCCCTTCTACGTGATTTTACCGAAAGAACCAAAAAGATGACCATATCTTGTTCTCCATAGATGGATGTTTTTGTGTTATGGGATTTTGTGTATATGCTAGGCATGTAATAATGCAGCGATTCATTCATACAAATACATTATTTTGTTTCAAACATGTATTGTGTGTCAGAATAAATGTTTGAATTTGAAAATTCGAAGTAAACTAGCCTTTTGCCCATCCAAGCACGGGTGTATTTCAGTAAATCTGAAACTTGCACCTCCCATTAGCACGCTTGGCTACGTACGCCGCGCAAAAAAAGTTCAACATACATGGAGGGATTTCTAGACTGAGACATTTAAACGGATGGAGATAGGGCAGCCAGTGAGTTGGCGGAGTAGAGCAGAAGTGTGGAAATTGTGGGGGGAGGTTAAAAAAAAAATGATCAGGGACGAGGCATTTTGTATCTGTCATTGGAGAGCAGCGAGGGCGTGGGCAGGAAGGCCGAGAGGAAGAGAGTCGCAGTCGTGAACGGCGAGTGGAAACGAGAGTGAATCGCTGTGTCACATCATCCAGTGAGACTCGGTGAAGCGGTGTGTCACAGGAAACCTCGAACGCATTGACGAAACTGCGTCTCGGAAGCCGTTAAGTGGCTCACCAACCTCAATATTGAAGTTTAGTTTGTCCGCACAATCCAGACAAACGCCTAAAGAAGACGCTCGTTGAACCAAGGCTCTCAAAAGTCAGATCGTCACACGAGACACTCGTCAGCCGTGCCGAACCAGGAGCAGCGGAGTGGGGCATCGCTGTGACGATCCCTACTCCACTCCCCAAGAGGCCATGATAGATGCTCACAAATACATGGTTGTCAATCCATGCGGTGTACCCGTATTCTTGTACAGGGGAATTTCGTTTTCGGGTCCATATGGCGTACAGCCGTTTCAATACGGGCAACAAAAATTGTTTTTTCTTCTTGGTTCTTTCGGTAAAGTCACGTAGAAGGGAAATAATAAAATAAAAATAAAGCAATAAAATACAAAAACAATTGTTTTGTCTATTTGTTAGTGTTTCTCCCTTGTGATGGGGCTTTGTAGGATGAACTTGGGAGAATTATAAGGGGCACGGGGTGACCAATAAGGCCTGAATTGGTCTTTAATCAGGTAGGGCACTAATAAGGGGTTGACAGGTATGGATGATGCCTCCTCCACTCACCAATAGGTTATGATAGATGTTCACTAACAACATGTACCCCTTACAAACGAGAGCAAATTGGGGATATTTTCCACTATATGTGTTTAAGCGTGCGTGTGTGTGAAATGTATGAAACGGCATGCTTATTTTTCTCTTGAGCGTCACATTGTTGACCTTTTGCACACTGATGGAGGCCCAGCCAGTGATATTTTAAGTGTTGAGTCAAGACCGCAGCCAGAGGCATCACAGAAGACATATTTGGGTCAGGTCTCATAGGAGTCACACTTAGATAACTGAGGCTTCAGGAAGAGTTGTTGCAAGCAAGTTATGTAGTTTTCGTGACTGCAGGAATCCATACTCTGGTTCTTTCGGTAAAGTCACGTAGGTGGAAATTAAATAAATCACGACGTTTCGATCGCTGAAGCTTCAGCAGTTTTCCTGCTGTAACCGTCTCACCTGATGACGATTGTGTTGCGATCGAAATGTCGTGATTTATTTTATTTCCACCTACGTGACTTTACCGAAAGAACCAAATAGTAAGTTATGTAGCCTTGGCCAGAACGAGCTGGGAAAGTGCTTAACGAAAATAACAAAACGTTGCTGTTCTTTCTTAAAATTAAACAAGTGTCGAAACAAGTCTACTTCAACTACAATGCACTACAATAAAGCAACTGGAATTGTAGGTGAGAGGAGTACGTACATTCACAGGTGTGTAATTGTTCAAGAACGTCTTTGTGGGTGTTTGTATTTGGAATCGAGTTTGAAAACATGACATTGCAGCAAACACGATGCTTCATATGACTTTAATACGGCCAAAATTAATTACTGGAATGAGCTTTAAAAGTTTGCACTATGTCATCGGCGTTGACCTTCACGTACTAGTTAATCACTCATTTCGAGGACAAAGGAGAAATGACACGTGTGAACAAGTGATAAGCCGTAAGACTGCATATTTTTTCAGTTTACAGAAATACTGTCACAACTGTCTCCCTGCGCCAGAAACATGTCACTGGTTATTGAAAAAAGTATGGCTTGACAGAGAGTAATGACTTACTTTGATGGAATGCTGCGTGTATATTTACATTTTCGCGAATTGCTAAATTTTTGCCTTTCAATGTTTCGAAGCGTGAAAACTTTCCTAGTTGAACTCTATGCTTTGATACTCAAATCGCGTATTCACAGAGCACATCACTTCATTGTCAATTTTAGTTTTTTTTCCCACAGGCGTTTGCCCGTTGAACCAAGCTGGAAGTGTGCTCTGGCCAGCATGAGTTATCCACAGATTTGATTTCATTACCAGATCTCATTTTTTCCAGTTAAAACGGTTACCATTCGGGAAGGGTGGTCAACCACTGATATGATCCGGATCTGGGTTAAATTATGTCTCCATATTTTCAGATTTTAACATATTCCTCCATTCATTCTGACACCGAGCCGAATCACTTAGAATGTATGTATACATCCTCAAAAGCATCAACGCCTCGACTATGTCCCTTCCATTAATAACGTTTACCCCCTGTGTGGCACCCTAACCAGCTTAAGTGTTACTCCGTTATTACGCTTTACCCCTCGCGTTCCCTGAACCAATCCCGTCTGACCATACTCCCTTCCTCTGGGGTTTTTTCTTCATTAAAATACTTCTTGTAAGACTTGAAGGTAAAAAAATTATGTAACAACAAGTATGTGTAGTGAGCGTCTTCCGCGACACGTCGAGTAGAAGGCTTGTTTATTAAGAGCACACGGGGCTATACATTGTGTCACGCAGCGACACACAGGCGATCCTTACACATAGTCCATCTCCGACATACGCTCCGCTAGCTGTCCCGACTAGCACAGCGACGGAGAGGGTCTTGCAGAAGATCAGCCACGAGGTCGGAGACGAAGAGATGACGACGAGCAGCGATGCAGCCAGGACCCGCAACAGCACCCGGACCTCTGGTTCGGCCCTCCTTATATGCGCCCCGGCGCGGCCAAGCCCCACCTCTGGCCATGCCCCCTTCCAGAACCTTCGAGCAGGTTCCCGGAGCCTCTAGATTAACTCCGCCTTTCACCTTTACCCCAGATACGCCCCCTTTATAATAAGGCATTACGCAATTCCCCCAAAACCGCAATTACCCCTTCAGGCCGACAGGTGTCACCCTGTCATTACACATGTACACATGGAAGTTCATCTATTGTGAAATTTTTGAAGTAATTCACTTTTAACGGAACATTCACACTTTAGCGTGCAGCACCTCTTCGGTGTCAACCAGTGATGTCATTGTATTCTTTCCTCACATGACACAGGATGGCCAATGCCATGGAGAAACCCGGGGAAGCGATGTTCAATTCGGTCATTGTACACTAATTAAGCGCTGCAATTGTGAACTCCAAATGACGTGTTTTGCGTAGACTGCACCGCGAACATAGAGACAGAGACGCATTGTTAAGCCAGGTTTGTTTGTTGGTGTGTTGCATGCCTCTCTCGCTGTGGTACTGAGAAGGCTGTGCTGCCCAATCGCTGGTATTTTTTTTCTGCTTCAACGTTGGCTGTGGTATCAAGCGTTTTTCGGACTTAAAGTAAGACCTATTTTAAGACACTTCATACAGTAGAGTAGAATTAAATATTTAAATGAGTAGATTATTTTACAGATTTAACTTGCTGGCACTCATTGAGTACAACGTCGCATAACCGACTCACAGGGGACCGTGGTCTGAGGATGAGTAAAAAGATTGGATACGTGAGCCTTCATGTAAAATAAGAGTTACACCATCCACAAATAGATTACTGGACAGAAATAATGAGCAAACTGCTTTAAACAAGATAAATGATTGACTGTGCTTTAGAAGTCAATGTTTTCGTGAGACTGATAATACATCACTGCTTGTGAACAGGATGTATTTTTGAATGTCTGTAGAAAAATGTCATCTCCACCATTCCACGGATATTACATTGGGGCTGTGGGCGGTTCATTGGGCAGGTCCGAGTTTGTGACATGCATATCGGTGTGACCGTGGTGGCAGGCTGCCAGGGTTGGGTGGCTCAAATGCTGCCTCTCTGCCCAGCGATGCTCCGGATGATTGCTTCATCATCAACTCAAGGCAACAGCCACCGACAGCAGGGCCGATGTATGTGCAGTATATGAGTTGTTGCTTTGCTATAAGAAGTTGACCATTGCTTATTTAGACCAGATCTTTTTTTTTAAAGAATCTTAAAGTAAATTTTGATTTAAAGCTTTCGTGACTGCAGGGATTCATATTCTTGGTTCTTTCGGTAAAGTCACGTAGAAGGGAAATAACAAAATAATATAGATATAAAAAATAAAAATTCTCACGACGTTTCGACTGCAACACAAGCAATCGAAAGAACCAAGAATATGAATCTTAAAGTAGGCCAGATTTTTAGAGTGGGTCCTCGTGTGAATCGGTGCAACACAACACAAAGGTCATGTTCCCATGGGCCAACAAGGATGTCATAAAAACAAAACAACTATCGATTGGCACCAGGGACTCAGTGTCACTTTTGGTAGTCTGGTAGTCCTCGCCAACGATTCACGGTGGCTATTGGGTGGATTACAGATAGACTCCATGAAGTTCTTGCCCCACTTCATCACGGATAAGAGGAGTTATACTGAACTATGTCGTGTTATTACATCCTGGAGTCGTTACATATGGCGCAACGTGGTAGCACGTTCGATACTTGTTGCAGAGCTTCGCTATTCAAACACGGTGGGCCGTCCTGGTTAATACTGCAGGTGCGTCCCTTATCAACTAGGCGACATATGCTTCACTGTGGACGTTAACGATCCCGTGACACCGCTCAACAAGAGGAGGCCGTTGTGTTGTCGGTGTCGCGGTTCAAATTTTGCCGAATTTTAAAATGACTCAATTGTGATTACACGCAGCCGGAGCAGCATCGCCCCCCCCCCCCTCCCTCTGCCAGGACACGACTCCAGACTGTTTCTACAAAACCTGCCCCCTTAACGGAAAGTAATGACACGAATAACAAATATACTGGATAATTATTACACCTACGCAACTACTGGCTACTGACTCAGTACTGAGCCGATTGCGTGTACACTACTGGTTCCCTCAGCAGCACAATATTCTGGACAGCTGTAAGAAAAAAGGCCTTAATAGCTCGTTCCTCCAGTATAACTAAATATGCAGATTCCGACAATCAGCATGAATGTCGCGTTGTTGAAAGAAGAAAAACGTGGACTCAGAAAATGTCACGATTTTTGGGGGGATTTTTTCGTCTAAATTAAAATGCGTTGGTGTCTCTTTGGATCCATATCCAAAAATGTTGGGGGTGTCTGGACACCACCCGACAGCCACGGTGGCTGTGTCGCTGATTGGCAACCTTTGAGCCAGCAGCAAGTAGTTCATGTTTCATTGGCGGGGAGGGGGTGGGCACCAGCCTCTTCATTGGGACACCCACATATCAAATGTGCGTTTTGACTCTTCGTTACGTCACGGTAGATTTAGACTGTGTGTGGCAGGTCACCATGTCCGCAACACCCCCAACGAACACATCTTTCAAAAAACCCATCAACGTCGACAACAAATTGTATTCTGTGCGTCGACACACGCTGTAGTGTGTGGCCCTGTGTAATAATAAAATGTGGGGGGGGAATTTAAATTACAGTTAATGTTACATGTTTAAAGTTTAACACGTTTGCTTTCGCGACCAATATCATCCGTAATAATCTAACCCAAAAAAGCATGTATTATAAATTCAATATATGATCTTACTATACTTACCTATTATAAATGATTGTACTCTTAAGAAACATGCGTTCACAGTATTTGGCTGCTATAAATGTCCACGTGATAAGCCACTTCGTTGAGCGATCATTTGTGGCCAGGTCGCTT